TTCTACCTACTCTGTACCCTACTGCTCACTACCAAACCAATATCCCAAATCAGGAAATTGCAAAAGCCGGAATCTCATGATGTTCGAAGCTGCCTCTAGTGAGTGTTCCCCCAGGACGATCTATAGGATGTGTGCACTCCGACAGAACTGCAACCCATTTACACATTTTCTGTTGCCTTGTGCCTCCTTTGCTGTCTTTTAGACACACATTTCTTACTGGATGACATCAATTTTCTTAGAAGAAAGAACGAACTAGGATTTATTGAGTACCTACTATGAGCTAGACACTGTCTTAGTCATCTACCTACATCATCTCATTTAAACCCTCTTTTAAAAAGGCAACAAGGCAATGCCATTCTATGTGGCAAATAAAGAAACTAAAGTCCAGAGATACTGAATAATTTGGCTGCCTAACTACTCTGCTACTGCTAATAAGTGACAGAACAGGGAATCAAATCCAAGACTGTCCACATCCAACATTCCCATCTTCCAGTGGCTCAAATCTCAACCAAGAAACAATTATATTTTAGGAAACAGCAATAAATATTCATGTTAAAAGGAATGCTGGGACATGAAGATTAGTGGTATAGGATAAATTGTGTTTGCATCTAGGACTGGGGATTAGAAAAAGGTAAGTCCAAACTTCAGTATACAACAGAATCATCCAAGACAGACATTGAAAAAATATTCTGGGACCCCCACACTCAGGGGTTGAGTTCCTTAGGAGTGGGTGGGCTCGAGATTTACATTCATAACAAGCTACTGCAGTGATTCTGGGTCAAGTCCTTCATCCCCTCTTTGTGGTCTGGGACTTGGCCCTGGGTGTGGTGTAATTTGCTTGTATGTCTTTCAGCAATTTTGGTTTCCTTGGGGGACCCTAATTTCTCATCTATAAAAGAAGAAGGGTTGAATGGAGTGTTTCTTCTTGAAAGACTCCATCACTATGACTAAAAATTATCTTGAAGCAAACGTGAATGGAAACTGGTCTCTTTCACACTTATTTAGCACGCATTATGCCAAACCCTGTGCTAAGACCTTTATTTGCCTTGTTTCATACAACTCCTTCCTCAACCCCTATGGAGAGTGGACACTATAATTGTCTATATTTAGCAGAAATGGAAGATGTGGCATGTGAGTAGCTCAAATAAGAGCCCGCAGACTGATTCCAGTCAGAACCAGTATGATTACATTACAGTACTATGTTGGGTCATTTTCCCCAAGTTCGGTGCCTCAATGTAGTATTGACCTATGGGAAAAGCCAAGGTCATATTCATTTTTTTTATTATCATCATCATAATGTTCTTTATATTACATTGGATTACATATAACTTTACAGTGTATTACATTGTTTTTTCAAAAGGGAATGCCATGCATGTCCGTCAGTACAGAGACATTAATCTCCCCACTTCAACATTCAATATCTTTTCTATGTTTTCCCCAATCATTATTTTTATTATTCTAATTATTTTTTAAAACAGTTCATTGCTATTTCTCATTTTGCTTGTAAAAATACTTTGCCCATCATGAAATACTTCTCAGACCAATCCAGTTAAGAATACTCATTTTTGAAAATAAACAGATTTACAAAGACATGGGTTCATCTTACTCAGGACAGTACTCTAGGCTTAAGGTGGTGTCTTACCTTGGTGAGTTTTTATTATTATTATTATTGTTAGTCACACATTAAATCACTATACATCATTTATATTGTGAAGAGACTTTTCCCAGCATGATTTACACCTCAATCCAGCCTAGTTGAGACTATTATACACGTCCTCCTCAACAGATAATAAATATTTTCTTTGTCCCACAAATGTCTTACCTCTCCATTTCCCCCCAAATTTCCTTTCCTACACTCTTCCCCTCCCACACTCTCTTTCCACTTTGTCTCTAGTGTCCATTACAATTTTAACTACATTTATGTTCTCTAGTCTTTCAGTCTCTACCACAGAGTGCGGACAGTCGGTTTATGTTAAGTGGAGACATACAATGCCTCTCTTTCATAGCCTGACTTGCTTCACTCAGCAACAAATCTTCCGTATTCATCCACTTTCTATCAAATTCCAGGGCCTTGTTGTTTTTTATGACTGAATAGTATTCCATGGGTTATATGTGCCTGGTGAGTTTTAAACAAATATGGCAAATAGAAAAGTTACCACAGCTGGGGATGGGTGGACCAACAACAGCAACCATTAGGGGGCAAACTGCATGGGAAGCCCTAGGTAGTTCAAAATGGAGAGTGCACACTGCCATGATGTTTGCCATTTCCTGTCCTTGCAGATATGGTTCTGCTCCAAAGGGAGACATAATCAATGCAGATGGCAACAGGAAACTTGTATCTTCAGGAATCTTGTCCTTCACACTGACCACTTCCTTCCTTCCTTATCTTTCCCAGATGACACTCTCCCCCAACCTGCTTATCTGCCCATGTTCTATAATCCCAATGTGGATTTCAGCAACATTCAGGCCACTGAATATTAAAATGGTAATTTGTTTTCATAAAGAAAAATAAATAAATAAGATACCAAAATTATCTGGGAAGTGATGGATTAGAGTTTAATAGTTTTTGTTACCAGGGGAATTTTCAGAGCCATGGGATTTTACTCATCTGATAATAATAGTCATAATAATACAGGAGTAACCTACATGCATTTAACACTTTCCATATGCCAGTTACTATGGTGGGTGTTTAAAACATTATCCTATCTTCACAGCAACTTAGAAGGTAGGTGCTATGATTGTCTTCATTTTACAGCTCCGGGAATAGTGCCTCAGAGATGTTGAATGACTTGCTGAAAAGAACCAAGACTAGCAAATGATGTGCTTAGGACTGGAACTCAGTGTGTATGAGTCTAAGCCCATTATACCCTGCTTGTCTTTTAAGAAGGCAGCAGATGTAAGAGGTAGGGCATACAGCTTCTTCCCCCATCTCCTCAGCTTGTTATCATACCTCACATAGACTTAGGGTTTGGAGGTTGAGTAAATAACACTACAGGCAGATCAATGAGCCCAGAAGAACTTGGGTTTGGTCCACTCTGTGATGTCTTTTCCCCTCCCCAGACAAGGCAGGATAAATAAAAGTACATTTAGCAAGACAATTGAAGTTATTCTGGTTTGGGCAGAAAACAGCTTCCAAGTCCTTGATTTTGCCCTGTCCTGAAATATTTTCTAAATACATCAGACAACAGGCTGATATAAGGACAGGGATGTAGATTGCCTCCAAATGCTGTCACGGGGATCATAATGGCTTTGTTTTTCACAGGGGAGAAGAAAAAAAAAAGTTTATGTCTCAAATTAGTAGGTCTGTCATGTTCCAAATTGTTTGCATTTCTAAAAATGGACTTTGACATGTGAACAGTTATTATCTAATGCAAGGCCCAAAAATCTGTCTCTCTCAAGGCAACAACTGGGTAGCCAGGGGATTCTCATTAAACACATGGATCTAAAGTTCTTTTTCCCACTGTGGGTAAAAGGGCACCACCCCCTTCTCTCCTTAAGGCCCCAGGATTCTCAACATCTGGGGTCCTGTCAAACTCTCTTCTTCAGAACCTTCATCCCTCAAAAAGATACCTGGGAAACTAAATTGGAGGGTCTCAGTTTCCTAGCACGATTTCTCTGCTGCAGTAATTTTCAAAGTATGGTCCCAGACTAGTAGCACCAGCATTTAGCTGCATGGGTCCCACCCAAGGCCTAGTTGATCAGAAGCTCCAGGATAGTGTCCAGAGATCTGTGTTTAACAACCCTACAGGGAATGATGATGTGTGTTCCAGTAGTTTAAATCTGAGAACCACTGGTCCTTCCTCCCTCCTCACGTCCACTCACTCATACATTCAGCAGCCTCTCAATTATCCCTCCATTCTATCTTCTCTCAGTCCTCTTCCCCACCCCAGGGCAGGTCACCACCCACCTCAAGAGCCTCCCAGTGGTATCTCCACTCAAAACCACACTCCCCTGAACCTCTCCACTTGAGAGTCAGAATGATCTTTTGAGAAGGCATATTTGGCCATGCCAGGACCTTATCTGGAGACTTGTAATGCCTCCTAATTTCCCTAGTACATTCAGGAGTTCTATCCCCCCCTCCTTGAATTGGCTACATCCTCCCCATGATCAAATTCAACAAAGCATAGAGAGTGAAGAAAGAAGAGACAATGTTTCCAGTCTATTTTGGAAAAATCTGCTCATATCCCCCCAAGTGGGAAACAGCTTAAGCATTAGAGTCAGTCAGACATGGGTTCAAATTGCAACTCTACCATTCAGCAGTCACATGACTTAGATGAGTGAGAGTTAAGCTCTCTCCAACATCCACATCCTCATCTCAATGTCTACACAATAGGGTCATCAGAGAATTAAGTGATAAAATGGATGTATAGGGCCAGCACTGTGTTCACATAATAATAAGTGAAAAATTAATTGTAATCACTGACTGGTCCAAGCACACAACTAGTTAACTCACAGACTAAAGTAGAATTTGTGAACTCTTTCCTTAACACTTGCTACTGCCTTGAGAAAATTGAAAATAGCATTCTGTTTCCCCATAAGGATCATGTATCCCAAGACCCTTAGGCCAAGACCTTGATTATGTTTGCTTTCCCTCAGAAGTTGTGTTCTTTCTCCCACATTTATTTAGCTTATGTTTTGCCATTTTGCTTTCCTAGCTTTTTTAGGAGAAAAAAAAAAATTTCAGTATGTCTTACCTGGAATGGTTTCTGATAGTGGAGTTTTATTTTATTCTTTCAGGCATCAAATATTGAAAAGAGAGGGGGTAGCACATTCTCTAACAATTGCCCAAGAACAGACATACCAAACCCACGTCCACATATGCACCACACGTACACACACAACACCTACGTAATAGAACTAGACAGACTTACAGGTGCCACCCAAGGTGAACACACATCTGCACAGGTCACACACAGACGCCAGGACGCTATATTCCTTTATTAATCAATATTGAATTTGACAACACCTGGACAAAAGAGCTACAAAAATCTGTACAGTACCTTTTGGTGACTTAAGTGTCGCCACTGCCCAGTCACCATCAGAACTTCCTAAAAAGATAACAATCAAGAGAGATGCTGATCCGATTGCTGCTGCTCCCTCATACACAGATGCTGCTGGCTGCCCCAGCTGCAGCCTCCAAGGGGGGTGGAACTTAGGGGGCCCAGGGAACAAGGAGGGGAGCCATGTGTGAAAATGCAACTATACGTGCGCCTCCTTTTGGAAATTCTCGAAGCAGTATCAAGTTAATGCCCACCAGAAGACCAGAGGAAGACCCCTGAAAAAGGCCTACACATTTTCAGTTAGGTAAGGCAGAGAGCGAATTCTTAGACAGTAAATCTGACTCTGGATATCCACCTGCTAAGAAAGAAAGGAAAATTTGAGTTACATGAAATCACTTTGACTAAAGCCCATACTCTGATGACAGGAGATGAATCTTGATCCTGTTTTATTGCAATCCTCCTCCAGAAAGGGCACATAACTAGCTCCATGGCCGAGGTTGGGACAGGCTGTGCTGACTGTGACTTTAAAGGCTGAGAGGCAGTTGCCATGGGTAGGGACTGCCTTCCCACACTGCCTATAGTTTGTGTTTGAAAAATACTGTTGGATGAATGAATGAATTCAATTTTCTCCACAGAAGTACTCTTTTCTACGGTATAGAAATTCCCTAAACACTAAAGGGATCAAACTTGTTATCTGAGAATCTCATTATGATTAATACATTGCTTTATAGGACAGACATGTACTTGGGATTTTCATTATAAATCAGTTTCTCCAAATTGAATTTCCCTTCAGTTGTACTGAATGAGCCCTGGGGGATCTCATATTATTAACAGAACCCCTTAGTGACTCCTTTCATAAAATAAAGGATGGTGAGAATGATCATGGCTCCCCTCGACCCCTTCCTTCATAGCCTTTCTCTGTAAGATTGAGTTTTACTTAATGCAGGACAAACCTACACGTGAGGCACTTCCACACTAGACGGAGGCCTGACCGATCAGCGTAAACTCCCAACTCTCCTTTCTTGAGAATCTACCTGCAACGAAGATGTCCTCAACACTTTCTGCACAACTTCCAGAGACGTAGCAGGCTGCCAGCTGAGAGGAGATGCAGGGAACAGTCTGTGATCTGAATGATTACAGAGCACAGATCTGGCTCCATTTAAAATGTTTCTAGTTGGCCTCCCAGGCATGCCAAAGGACCATCAAATTGCCATGTTCCCCTGCGGATCTGAACTCTACACTCTCATCACTCACAACAGAGGGAAAATTGGAGCGACAAGAGAGGAGTGACGAAGTTAAAATTAAGTGGGGCCCCCTCCCCCACCCCCAGATGACTTGGTGTTCCTTTTCCCTGGGAGCCAGGGTCATGTGGAAACAGTGATGTGGACCCCATATCTTCCTGTGCGGGTGGACAGAACCTGAGTAGCTGAGTCACTGACTCCCAAGAGGCCATCTTAACCCCAAATCAAATTCATCACTGCCCTGAAGGCAGGAACTATTCCTCTGTCACCTCTGTCCCCAGTACCTAAGATGGGGTTCAGCTCTGATAAGGCAGTAACAGGTTTTCTTTCATAAATCCATTGAAAATATGGATACTTAATAAGATGGCACATAGGCTACTGAACATGAAGCCTGAACTATATGTTTGGTGGCATTAGTGGATGCTGGTTATTTGTTGGGTGAAAAATTAAACATTCAACAAAAATGGATGAACTGGGACCAGCAGATGGCATAATGGTTATGTCACTGGACTCCTATATAGACAACCACAGTTTGAGTCCTGGATTTGGTGGCTTAAAACTTATGCCAGGCACCTGTGTGTGTGTGTGTGTGTGTCCAAAATCCCAAAGAGGAGAATGGAGAAGGGATCGTGGAGTGACCATCACCCTTGAGGAGTGATTTCTTGCTTGCTGTCTCTGTCTCTCCAGCAAGTGCAAGTGCTCTATAGAAAAAAAAAAAAAAAAAGGAAAAAAAAAAAAGAAAAAGGAAAAAAGAAAAAGAAAAAAAAATCTCTCTCTAAAAAAAAGAAAAAAGACTGGATAGACCTAAGGTATTGAAAGGAAGAGGATATGAGAAAACTTTCAGTGTGATGAAAATATGTCTTATCTTCATGGGAATGTGGTGACCCAAGGCTATCCATTTTTCAATAACCACACTACAGTAAAATTATGATCTATATATTTCACTGTATGTAAATTATACCTCCACTACAGTACACCTCAGATTTGTCACACCTTCCTTGCACTCAGCATCATGAGAAAACTTTTACCTTCAAAAAAATGCAATTAAAACCTTAGTAAGTTTCCCTAAAAAATGGGGAAATGGGCCTCTCCAACATTTGTTTTGCCTGCCTATGTCCTTCAAATGCCCGAAATTGCTCTGTGGAAGATAGCATCATTTCATAAAAAGAACATAGGATTCTAAGTCAGGTAATCTTGAAATGAGCCTTTTACTAAAAATGTGACTTTGGGAAAATGACTTAACGATATACTGAGTCTCAATTTCCCCATCTACAGAACCATAGGCTGAATGCCTGCCTTTGAGAGGTGCTGTGTGGAAGGTCAGTGATATTAGCCCCCTTGCTGCCCTAACTTGAAAAAAATTAAAGTAGTAGAGGTCACTTAGTGGCTGAGGGCCTTGTCCATCTCTTAGGAGTTTCATACATGATTCCTTTGTGAACAATGAAGAAGGAATTACTACCACATAGAAGTGCATCATTACTAGGACTTTAAAAAGTGCTATTGGAAACCATGATGTGATTCTGACCAAATAGTCAAGGTTCTGTTAAATAGCAACAGAGAATATTTTCTTCTTAAACTTTTTAACTGGAAATAAAGCCTATATATGGAATTTTAGCCATGTTGTTGATACTTTCTTTCTCTTTCTTATACTGGGTGGCCAAGTTTGCATCTAAAAGGCACATGGAACCTACAGTGGCTTAGGAGTTCAACTCTCAGAAACTTAGACAAAAAACTCAATGACAGGTTGATAGAAGATAGGTGCCAATGTGCAGGCTATGTTGTTTGCAAAGCTCATCGGGGATGATTTAAAAGCATGGTCTTCCTCCAGTTCTGAAGGCAAGAGTACACCCTCTGGACCATGAAGTGACCCTGAGAGTACTTTTCCAAAACACTTCTCTCTTCCAAACATTGACCTTTGAAGAGCCACAAGGCAATGTATTCTCACATTGTAACCCCCATCACACCAGCAGCTTAGGCCAGGGGACTTGTGTGCTTAACTGAATTTTCAGGTTACATTTTGGCTAAGTCTATAACAAGACACACTTGTCAACTTCAACCTTGGTGGAGATGTTTTTAAAATGTATAAACCCACATTTTTGTCTTAGTCAGGAGAGTCAAATAAAGGTTCAAGTGTAACTGAACCTTTCTTTGATGGAATAAAGAACTCATGTGTCTGAGCATCGACACATTGTCTAGACCATAGATGGGGACGCGGACCACAGTCGACTACATGGGAGTCCAGCGACATAGCCATTACACTAACTGCTGATCCCCAGACCATAGAGGGGGAAAGTGATGAGGTCTAGGTTGATTTTCTTGGCCATTAAGACAGGTCAGAAGAGATATTCTTTGTTTTTTCTTGTTTTGTTTTGTTTTGGTATACATGATTCCTTTGTGAACAATGAAGAAGGAATTACTACCACATAGAAGTGCATCATTACTAGGACTTTAAAAAGTGCTATTGGAAACCATGATGTGATTCTGACCAAATAGTCAAGGTTCTGTTAAATAGCAACAGAGAATATTTTCTTCTTAAACTTTTTAACTGGAAATAAAGCCTATATATGGAATTTTAGCCATGTTGTTGATACTTTCTTTCTCTTTCTTATACTGGGTGGCCAAGTTTGCATCTAAAAGGCACATGGAACCTACAGTGGCTTAGGAGTTCAACTCTCAGAAACTTAGACAAAAAACTCAATGACAGGTTGATAGAAGATAGGTGCCAATGTGCAGGCTATGTTGTTTGCAAAGCTCATCGGGGATGATTTAAAAGCATGGTCTTCCTCCAGTTCTGAAGGCAAGAGTACACCCTCTGGACCATGAAGTGACCCTGAGAGTACTTTTCCAAAACACTTCTCTCTTCCAAACATTGACCTTTGAAGAGCCACAAGGCAATGTATTCTCACATTGTAACCCCCATCACACCAGCAGCTTAGGCCAGGGGACTTGTGTGCTTAACTGAATTTTCAGGTTACATTTTGGCTAAGTCTATAACAAGACACACTTGTCAACTTCAACCTTGGTGGAGATGTTTTTAAAATGTATAAACCCACATTTTTGTCTTAGTCAGGAGAGTCAAATAAAGGTTCAAGTGTAACTGAACCTTTCTTTGATGGAATAAAGAACTCATGTGTCTGAGCATCGACACATTGTCTAGACCATAGATGGGGACGCGGACCACAGTCGACTACATGGGAGTCCAGCGACATAGCCATTACACTAACTGCTGATCCCCAGACCATAGAGGGGGAAAGTGATGAGGTCTAGGTTGATTTTCTTGGCCATTAAGACAGGTCAGAAGAGATATTCTTTGTTTTTCTTGTTTTGTTTTGTTTTGGTTTTTTTTTTTGCTTGTTTTATCAGACCCCTGACATGAGTTAACTTCCATATTTGTCCTTTCCATCTGACTGGAGGGAAAAATATCCAATTCTTTCTTCCTCGAGAATTCACATGCATGATATTCCTACAATGCCATGTAACATAGAATTTGGGCAATTGCATGTTAATCAAGGTACCAGTGTATCTTAAAGATTGAGGAAGAAAATGACCTGCAAATAACTCTGATTTTGAGAGTTAACATGTGCAGAATGTAGTGTGGGCTGACTATGTTCCAGGCTAAGACCTTTACATGCACTATATCATTCACTCTTCCAAGAGTTTTGTATAATTATTATTATCTCTATTTTACAGATTGTAAAACTGAAACCTAAGGTTAATTTCTGCAATTATTTAATAAGTGTCTGAGGTAGGTCTTAAACTCAGTCCTGACCTGCTCCTGAGGCCATATTACATTCTGCTATCATGCAG